AAGATGAATAGGCTTTGAGAATGTCGCCGATGGCAGCATCCTGAGACTTGCTGGTCTCCGTTGGCGCCTTTAGAATAAGTTCTTTTCGCAGTTCCTCTGCATGGGCTTTGAAAATATCGGGATTGCGTTGAGATATGTCATTGAGCACCTGATGTGCTACAGTAGCGAAGCCGTTCTTATCACTCTTGGAGTAGTCCATGATGGTTGCCAGGTGGCTTCGGTTGAACATGAGGCAGCTTGACCGATACAGCAAGGGAATGATTGTATCTAGAGAACCGGCGGCAGAGGTCGCTGATATTTTCGTAATCAGCTCCGCAATGGCTCGTCTCACGGTCTTGAAGTCGCTTTCGGACTCTATCGCATACTTGACGAGTTGGTAGCTGCGACGCTCGTTGAGCTTGACAAATTTTTGAAGGTCCGCGCGAACCTTTAATGGGTCGGGAAAGTAGGCACCGAGCCATTGCATTGTTTTGGAGAGACCAGCCTTGACCTTTTCCTCATTCGCTTCAATAACGCCGCCATTGTACGCCTCGCATTGCTGAATGAAGATCTCAACACCCTTGGCAAACTGAGGCTGGCGGGCTTGCATGGCAAAGAAGGCCTTCTGTGCTGCGCTGTCCAGGGACTTGAGCATCAGCAGAATTCTTTCGGCTCTTATCTTATCCTGATCTGCTTGGCCAACCGCAGCTTTTCCTTGTGAGGACGCAGCCGCGGTCTTGGCACCTTTACCCTTGATGAGAGGATATTTCAGGGGAATTAGACACTCAAACATGACACGGTCGAGGAGAACATTGAGGTCGGGATCGTTGGCGTAGAAAGCATTGATAATGCGTGACGGAACGCCTGAGAGACAAGCGACAACAGCTTCCTGTCCATCTGCAATCTCTCCAGCTCCGACTGCCCAAAGCTTGCCCAGTAGAACCATTGCTTCTACACGCACTGCCGGTTTTCTGTCTCGACATCGGTCTGCTAGACTGGCAAAGACTGAGCCCTCTTTCTCAACACCACCAATGATGCCAAGTTTGAGGACAATGTCTCGGAACTCGAATAGCTCAATTGCCTTGACAGCTGCTAAACGAACCTTTTCTTCGCTATCATTTAGCTTGTCAACCAACGCCCTTACCAGCTCGCTCTCCTCTTGGCTGCTAAGTCCAATTCCACCGGCAGAAGTACACAGAATGTAACCAACAGCAGTTACCCAGGCAGTCCGGATAGTACCTGTCTTGTCGTTTTTTCTACCGACAAAGTTGCGGTAAGTTGCCGCATGTGTCTGGGCGAAGGACTGCGGAGAATATGGCTTGGTGAGAACATTGGCTTCGGCTACTGCTGGACTATCATCCATCAGCTTGATTGGAGGGTATGCGGCAGGATCAAGAGCAGGAGGCTGCGGTGGGCCTGCGGCTCCAATACCGGAGATCATGTCACCAAAGGTCTCCGTGGCTATGAGCCGCAGGTGTACGTTATCGGCGGACAATTCGGCATCTAGCTGAGGAATGACGTTTTGAAGTACAGCAGGTGCTGCTCGCCAAAGTTCTCGAATTAGAAGATGAGCCTGGCGAAGACTCTTCAAATCCGCTTCTGAGGGTCCTGCATGGGCATCTTCTTCATCCGAGTCGTCTCCATGGCGGGCACCTCCTGCCGTTGCAAATCCAGAGGCATTGAGGATCACGTCGCTGAAATACTGACTAACATAACGTGCCATTTTGTCTGCACATCCATTACAGATAGCCTTGGCCATGACATAGGCCGCTGGCTCTGTCTTGAGAAGGAGCGTCGATTGCTTGCCGTTTTGCTCTTTACTTCGGTTACCACCACCAGGGGGAGCAGCTCGCAAAAACTGACTGATGATGGCGTCGATGACACTCGCTGGAACGCTGCCGGGAGACTCGTCAATCAGTTGGATTAGCATTTCCGTCAAGTGAATTTCGACATCTTTTGCAACCTGCTCCTCAGCTGGTGCCTTGGCGTTTGCTGAAACTCCATCAAAGGTTGAATTGAACAGACGCAGCAACAGGTCATCGGCTCCATGAATTTCTGATAGCAGTAGAATGCTCTTGACGTCAGTCAGAGACATGAGAACGTATTTGTGTTGGCTGTTGTATGGATTCGTGGGATCTTGGAGGCTGGGCAGAATATCCTTGATGAATAGACCATACATCATCTACACAAGATCGATTAGCAAAGAAAGATGAGCAAGACATCGAAGCTAATTTTGCCCACCTTGAGCTGGTCATCCGTGAACGGGGCATCTGGGACAAACAACCGTAGGATATCCACCAAACAGCAGGCAGTGTAGGCCTTGACTCCTCTATCCTTATGCTGCAGCAGATTGCGATGCGCCAGCTGGGCAGCAACATCCCTGAGCGAGCTCAGATCGACCTCGCCCTGCTCAAATTCTGCCAGCTCCTTGGACAGCTTCTCCAGGCGAGTCAGCAGAGTGCCGCTGGGGATTGGCTTTGCAGGCCGCCATGATAGCTCCTCGTTAAACCGTAGACTGCCGTGCTCTCCTTCGTAGCCGCCTTCAGCTTCTTGCGATTCTGCCTCCGGCTCGTGCTCGGGCTCAGATTCCACCTCAGCAGCGTCCGAGTTTGCCTCTTGAAGCTCCTCCGGCGCGTGAGACTTTTCCTCCACTGGCGCAGGCGCCGACCGTTTCCTCGTGGACTGTCGAACCATGATTGCGCGGGCACAGAGATGGCGATGCGTTGCTATCGAAAGGCGGCGAACAAACTATCCCGAGGTCCGCTTGATTGGCTGGTCGCGAAGTCGATCGTCTTGCTGCGCGCGGGTCACAGCATCGCACAGTTGGAACACGCTTGATTTGGCGGAGCGAGGAGCAGCTCCCTAGCTCGAGAAGTCGACGACCGGTCTCGGCAGATTTTTTTGCTAATTTTTTATGCACCGCGGGATTGGCGTGAGAGGATGATGCATAAGATGGCGATGTCCGAAGCAACAAGTTTAGAGGGGAGCTCCAGTGCTGGGTTACGCGACGCGATGGGGGAAGATGTTCCGGAGTGGCCCCGCGTCAGTTAGTTGGGTAATTGCTGTGATACGGACAAATACCTGAGTTTATGTGGGTTACTCATACAAAAGGTAGGTACCTTTTTTGCGCAATGCTGTAATTTCTACTCCGTTCGTTTTGCATTGTTTATTATGCCCGGGTAAATTAACTGCTACCACTGGTTCATGGCATCGGCCTGTTTCACCATTAGGCTGTTCCTAAGAGAAACTGAGCTTCGTCATGAAAAGACCCGATCTGGCTGCGTGTTTGAAAAGAAGAACTCGTCAGGCAAAAAATTGACAACGGGTGTAGAGCGCTGAGGGCTCAACAGCCCCTATTTTTCTAGTAAGGAGCAAGATGCTCACCACTGTGATGACGATGCTGTGCAGCGTGATGCGGGTTTCAGCCATTTTTGAATCATGCCTTGAGTCGTTCCACATAGTAATGTCAAAGTACCACTGAAATCTACTTGCGGATGCGAAAATGACATCTGACTTCCAGGGTACTCCTTTGTGGAGAGAGTTTGGTGATAGTCTCCTGACCTCGTCGATACTTTGGGAGAAGATGCCAACATCTTGGTATACACATATCAATTCTTCCAGGTGGTAGAGCTGTTAGAGAATGGCTTTTGAGCCCAATCCTTTTAATGTATCATCCGTGCCAGTATACTCATGGAGACTGGCTTGACTGGTGTATACTCAGATTAGGGCTGCAAGGAGAAACGGCTGGCTGTAGCAAGTGTCACGTTTGTGCGGCTTTCTTGTGGTGATATTTAATTGTTTAGTACATATTCGACTCTGCTTGTAATTGCCTAGTACTACGTCGCCTCTGACCGGCAGTCTTGTACTTAGCGGGTCTCACAAACTGCCCGTACGATGTTTGTTTCATGATTCGGATATTCACATAGGGCCGTGGTTCTGGGACGGTATTGCTGGACTCTGGCGGAGGCTGTTGTATAGATGGCTTTGCGTATACTGAATACATGCTCAATTTCAAACTCAGGATAGCCCTTTGGCAATATTGCACTGTTGTTATCGCCAGAAGCGGACTTTGGTCATTCTCAACACCAGAGTAACGGGGCCTGCCACGGGACATGTAATCTCCATTCGTGTTCCTTCTCCAACTTTCACATCAATATAGTACATATTTACCAAAATATCTCTCCAGAATTTCCCCCTAACACATTCGTTTAGCAAATAAGTCCTCAGTTGCGATAACTTCACCAACCATACTGCCCTTGGCCTTTACACGGCAAACCCCTTGGATGTGAAAGCTTCATGTCTAGTGCGAATATCTTAATGCTTAAGTGATTTGAATCTCATCTATGTGCATACTACCTCTAGATATCTACCTAGTATCTAGAGGTACTGTGTATGTGGGCAATCACTTGTTGCCAGTGCCAGTGCCAGTGCCAAGTCGCCAGCTTGCCGGTCCGGTATCAGCCTCCTCAAACTCCATCCGCCAGCTGCCTAGATAAACAAACCCTGCAAAACCGAGAACGCGTGCCTCGCGTTTTCCTCTCTCTCTTAAAGTTGTTTGCTGTGCCATTCACTGCAACGTAAAAAAGCAAACGAGAGAACCCTCGACTTCTCCCCCTCTTCCACCACTTCTTCCTGCTTCCTTCACCTGCACCCAACACACTCGTTCGTTTTCTACCCACAACCGCATCCAATTCACCAACGCTCTCTACCGATATCGTCTGTATTCAAACACTTTCATTCTTTGCAAAGCTTTTGAAGCTTCTCTGCGCCTTCGGTTTGGTATGAAACCCACCCACCTTTCCCTTCCCTCCCGTTGTGCCATCGTCACTCCTGTACCACTCCGAATAACTCTTCCCGACAAACTTCCACCACAAACCCGCTGTGCACAAGTCCCTCGCTAATAAATATTTCTAGTCTCGTAATCCTGGTCACAGAATACCGCAGAAGTAATCTCCAAGTAGGTCGCTTCAGCCTCCATGTCTTATCTAGGCAAAACTGACATTTTCTCGACAGTGGCCAACATGAAGCTCACGAAGGACTCTGAGAGCGGCGTTGCGCCTCAGAAGAAGATGACTACCATCCAAAAGTTCAAGGAGTATTTCCTCGACTTCAAGATTGTCACGGGTGCTGCTATGGCCATTTGCATGCTGTCTGCAGTTTTTGCGGTTACCATCCTCGCGGCTCACTGTGGTATGATGCCAGTTTTTTTTTCTTAACCTAATGCTGAACCGTTCTGACTGATGAAGCTGGCCTAGAGAAATTGTACCAGGGAGGTCTTGCTGTTGTGGCTGGAGAGGTTCTTCCCAATGTCAACCAGAAGCTCGACCGTCGTGGTGTGGATTGCAACGAAACCGAGCTGGCCATGTCTGTTGCCTCTGCTCAGGTTGTCACCTACGTTCTTGACGATGGCTCACTCGCTGTTGTGACTCAGGAACCTCGATCCAACCCAACGATTTCTGTCACTAGCATTCCCATCTCGTGAGTAATGCAAATGCCACCTATCTGAACGAGAACTTCTTCTAATATCTCTGATGCAGCACTCAAACGGCGACCTCAACCATCTACACTGTCATCACTCCGTCTCAGCCGGCTGTTGTCACCGAAACCAAAACCATGACCACGTCCATCCTCACTTCAGAGGCTCCCGTGTGCTCGGCCAACACCACAGTCACCGTGACCATCACCGTTGTGCCCACTCCCAACAACGCCTGGGCTTCCAGCTCCGTCCTCGGCGATGTTACTGTGACGGCTGGTGCGTCGACAGTCACCAACGTCAACACTGATGTCTCCTATACCAGTGGACTTCCAGATGCCACCATCTCTGGAAACCCGTCGACTGTCACTGACGTTGATGTTTCTGTTACTGGCCTCCCTGATGTGACTATCTCTGGAAACCCAGCCACCGTAACTAATGTCCTTACCGACGTATCTCTCACCAGCGGTCTCCCGGATGCGACTGTCTCTGGCAATCCGTCGACCATTACGGCGTTTCAGACTAGTTACTCGCAGCCTGCAGAACCCGTCACCTCGTTCGTCACAGTCGTCATCTCTGATCTCTGGAGTTCTTCGGTAACCAGCTCAACCCCCACGGATCTGGTGACTGTCACTGCCATCTCCACCATCAAGACAACTGTCACCACCATCGATGTTGCCCCGTCTCCCATCATTGTCACTGTCACAAACGCTTACTCGGAGCCCGCGAAGAGCACCTCAACCGACTTCGCAGACAGCTCCAAAGATGGCTTTCAGACATCCCGTCAGAGCACCCTGACGAAGACTGTCACGGCGACAAATGGCCAGCTGGAGACCACCACTACGACCGTCTTCATACCGCCTGTCTTCACCAGCTACAATGGCACTGCGAGCAGCATGCCCAGTGGCACCGCAACGAGTGTCATTATGCCTACCATCCCCGTTGTTGTCTCCAGCAGCAACAAGGGTATGGAGCCACGCAGTCACTCTGTTTGTTTCCTCATCGTGGTGATTGTAGCCGGCATGTCTATGCTGTAAGAGCATCGGTTTGGTAGATTCTCCTCGAGGTAATCTTTGGACATTGCTCCATGGTAGGATGGCCATATAAGGGGTTGATTTGATTCTTTTTCTTTCTCTTTTTCCGGTCTTTCTTTTTCAAGTTAGGGCATCACATCTAGGGTTTGCAGGGAACTGGATGAAATATGGTCGGCTGGCCAACAAACTGGGAACAATCGCTTTGTTTAATAAGAATCAGGACACAACAGTTGCTTACAGTTAGGAATGGGAAATCAAGTAACTCTGCAATTTGACGACAACGTAGCAAAGTGATTCACTACTTGCTTGGTAAACTGTATGAAGCCCTGTACCGAGATCCTATAGACTCAAGGAGAAGCAATATTTCTTCCACAACGAAAAATTCTTGTCCAGACGCCCCAAAACAACTACTCCCATGACGCCGATATCCCATATCTTATCCTACCTAGCCATTGGCGGCACTACCAATTATTTTAATCGAAGTATACCCATGTATATATTCATCTCCCTTCTCTTCAGCTTGGCCCATTGACTCAAATTATATCAAGCTTCCACGCAGACAATCAGAGCCTTCCAGAGTATCCATGCCTCTAGCGTGGCGGGCGCGGACCTTCACGTGCTGCCCTGGCCTTCCAATTATCTCTGATATGACCGGCGGCGTCAGAGAGATCCTTTACCGAAACACGATCTTTGATACTCTCCAGGACACTTGTGACTGTGCTCGTGTGATTTGCCTCCTTTTTATCATCTCTGAAGCGGAGAAGACGCCATCTCCTTTGTTCGTCCTGATTACACTCGACTATGCGATCGTTCAAGGGGTCATTCAAGCCTTTCAACGTTTCCCATTCCTCTTCGGTGATGTAAAGGTCGTCAAATCGTTCGTATTTTTCCGGACCGTCACCCTTGTAAACAAATAATTCTGCTTTGGGCACACTGTCATAATCGACAAACGGTTCAGTAATACCTTCCTTGCGCTCCCATTCGTCGGGCTCGACGGTGGGGAAAGTGAGTTTGAGACGAAGGTCAATCGTGTTTTCTTCCGGAGGCTTCCATTTAAGAATATGGGGGTCAGTGCCGTGCTTATAAGCCGTGTTCCGGCACGTGAAGATGAGACCATCATTGCCGTGCTTTAGGTTCGGAAGAATCTGTTTGAACATCATATCGATACCATAGCCGAGCTGGAAGGGCTTCATCTCCATAATGAATGGCTGGTACTGCAATTCGTCTGGAAAGTCCTTGAACAGCTTCTTGTATGGCGTATATAGCCGTTCTCTGAAATAGGCCAGCCTTTTATCAAGAGACCGATCCATAAGCTTGTTGCCATCCATCACAAGGCAGTCAAAGACGAGAAATCGAGCTTCCTTGTCCCCATTGGGCAGACTATCCCAGACCAGTTCGCCGTCGACGAGTGTTGCCGTGTGAAAGGCGCTGACGTCATTCTCGCGAGGGAAATGTAGGCTCTTATTGGTGATGAACCAGTAATCGTTCTTGCGGTCAATCAAGTAATGGGCTTCCCCTCCGTTTTCGTCTTCGGTCAAGTAGAGGAGATAGCGAATTCCATCGGACTTTTCGCATACATAGTAACTGGCAGTTAAACGTACATTAGTCGATATGCGCAAACATCCCAGTTTCTTTTCGCTTTAGCCATACTCTTGCCTGGTCAATTCGTCCAGATGTTGTCTGGCAAAACTGACGGGTTGGGCGCCGGGGAAGCTGGTTTGTTGTCTACCAAGCAGCTCGGCAACCTCTCTGCGCATGGCATGTATGAGCTGCCCTTCGGCTTTAATGCCAGGCTCTTCAATGGACCCTATTGGCCCATCTGGTTTGTTGTTGGGCTCCATTGCTTGCCTGCCTTCTCAGCCTCTTTCGATGAGCGCGTCGATGACCTGTCGTATGAATATTGCCAAGGGGAGGGCAAAGGAGGATTATTCGGTTAAAATGATAGATCGTTAAAATTGCCACACACCCTCAGCCTCATGGAGCATTGAAGCGCACCTGAGGCCGGACAGCTCAAGAGCGTCGGGGTTGGCGTGATAATATCTGGTAGATAGTAAGTTGGAGCTGGGAAGAGCTGCAGCGCGCGCCGTCTTCCTAAGACGGCCTCTGGCTTATCGATAAAGGGGTGAGCAGATGCCCATGCGAATAAGCCGCCCACGTAATACTGCCGCGGCTGCACGCTACTATTATTCTATGGCAAAGGTTCAAATGACAAAAGAGGGATGATTTTTTTCGTATTTGCAGAAGTTTAAATGCGTTTGTATAGGTAGAGTTAATAGATTTGATCCCATACTACTAGTAGGTACTTGTTTGTGGCTTAGTCTCCATGCAGGAGAGCGACCTATTCTAGGACCTGAATAGGTCTACTAGGAGGCAGTTATTCCGTTGAATGGGGTCAATGCTCTTGCAAACAAACTCTCTATATTGACAAGATTAATGCTATCTAGATATAACGCGTCGTAACATTGTTTCACACATATATTATTCAGAGTAAATTAATACGATTCAAGTCGCTCTTGAATGGCGCGCATAGCGCCCAATAGTAACAACACGACGGCAACATTTCAGATGACGAGTCTATCTCCCCAACTTTCCCTCATATTAGCAATATTCCCGACATGAATAACCGTCTGGACACGCTAGTTTTCATCTATTTTGTCGACCTCTGCCCGAGCCTCCTCCCACTGCTGCTTGCTCTTGCGTGCCCACTCAATCTGGCTTCTGGCATACGCCAACTGTAGCGATTGTTAGCATCAAAGTCCTCAAGAATTGTCGTTGGCTGTGCAGTGATTTAAGCTTCTGCTGTGGCTTACGTACCATGTATCTTCGCAAATCATCTTCCTTATCCTTCTGGAACCGTTTCAAATCATCCAATACGCTTGCGCTGGCCTCCTTGACATCCCTCTCAGAAGCTACCTGGGCTTGCTCCAGCTGACCAATAGACTCGCGTGTCTTTCCGATCGTATCTCTGCGAGTTCGTTCAGGATCCACGTCCACAACACCTTGGACTGCATGACGGATCGGACCAAAAATCTTGTTTGTTATGGAGTTTGTACTGGGCATCTTTCTGTGCGTGTTGCTCGCACTTCTCTCGGGAAGGCCTTGGCTTGCAGACGGGGGTACTGATGGGAAGTCACCGTGCGTGGGAGGGAAATCAGAATCTATAGATTCAGTGTCTTCTTGGCTTCCATCGCGGCGGTGCTGAGTAGGAGGCTCCCTCATGCTTGCTGATCGTTTGGGTGGGGGTGATATTTGCTGGCTGTTGGAAAGGTACTGTTCGATGCGTCGCGCTTCTGCTTCACTGCGCTCCAGCTGGTCCAAAAGAGCCCTCTTTTTGTTGAGCTCATCAGTTGTCATGTCCTGTTGCACGCGCTTGAGAACTCTATACCGCAAGACGCTTCTAACCACTCCCGCAAACTGGGCATTTTCTCTCATTGGTTCTGCGAAACTTGCCCCCAAAGTCCCTGAAAGCTCCTCGGTTGCAATGTATGATGCATCAGCGGCCTGGCCTATCCGTTCGATGGCTGGTCCCAGGGAGGGGGCTTGTTCCGAAAGGGCAAAAGCATTGTATCTTGATCCTAACTCGCACAGATCGGCCGCAAGAGAAGACAAGTGACTGAGAGTTCGACGGTTAACTTTCTCCATAGGGCCAGTCAGAAGTTGCTCTAGCTCTTTAATCGAAGCTTCATAAGAGATAAAATACGGATCAAGCTCTAATTCGCTGAGCTTGGATGCATCTGTTGGGAAGCGTTCGATCGCATGCGCTGCGCCTTGAATGACAGAGGCGCTCAGGTCCTGGCCGGTACCGGACGAGGCCTTGAGTTTTGATGAGCTGGAGGGAATTGGAAGAAAGTTGTGCGCTGGGGTTGGATTCGCGGTGTCTAATGGAGGTGCCTTGAGAACAGACTTGGGAATGGAAGCAACAGGGTGGGCATGTAAGACCTCGCTCTACCGTAACGTTAGCAACAGACGAGACGTCATATTTATATCGGGAAAAAAGGGAGCGCATTACCCAGCTTGAGTTTGGGTCGAGAAATCTCCACCAGACTCCGTCCTCCCTGACGGCGTCCATTCGACGGCAGCGGTTCAAGAAGACCATCAGCATGCGCTTTCGTAAATCAATGATTTGCTGATCCTGTTTTGCACTCGTGGGATTCGCGGCATAGTCGGCCATGGTATGCTTTTCCGGAATGGGAGGGATGACAAGGGTCGGATGAAGACGGGTCAAGGCATCTCTCAGCGAGGCAAACTCAGAGTAACGGCGACGAACTTCTAGATCCTAGATATGGTGGTCAGAAAGACAACAGCACAGAGTAAGCGAGCGCGACGCACCCCAGTTTTAATGGTATACACAATGTATCTCCCTCCGCTCTCCACGCTTTTGCCCGCATCTGTGATCATAATGGGCATGTTGGGGTTTTCATAGAGGATCTGTTCAATGCGGCTGTTGTATCCGCCTGGCTTCCGCCGTGGGGGAGTGTCCTCCCTGAGGACATCTTCCTCGTCGATCTGCCCAACGCCATGGCTGAAGGGCGGACGAGGTGATTGAGCATCGTCGCTCCCAGTTGACGGGGTATGGGAAGCCTCGAAAACTCCATCTACAGCGTTCAGTTCGTGTTAGTTTTACCCTGTGTCTAGCCGCGCCCGGTCGTTGACTCGCTCTTGAGCAGGCGACCCAGCAGCGCTCCGAGCGACGAGGTGCAATGGACTTACAGTCTCTGGAAGTCGGCGAGCTCGGGATTGCCGACGATGATGTCTGCGAATCCCGGCGATCGAAGCTTGATCCGTAAGGATTATTGTCCTCGTCGTTCCACATGATGGCGGCGCTCTCGACAGAGGTCTGTGTATGTGCGGATATGGCTCTTTGGAGTCTGCGCGGCGAAGACAAACACCAGAACTATGCTCTGGACCGTCGTGAGCTCTGGGGCAACTGTGGCGCGGGGCGGAGTCGGTTAAGCCGCAGTGACGTGGGGTCGAGATCAGGGAATGTGCAGGAAAAGCGCCTTGAAGGCTGTCGCCATTCTCTGGGGAACACGCTGCAAGAGGTTGTCAAGGGAGAGCATCCAAGGCTTCGACGACGATTGCAGGCAGAAGCGGAGAGACAGTCTGGCGAAGCTCCGGTGGTTTCTGAGGTTAAAAAGAAGCCCTGCCACCTTGATGACGATACTCCGCGCACGGACCACCTACATCACCAGGCACTGCAACGAACCTGTTCTTGGATGTACCTCGCCTCGTACTCCATGCTGTTCATGTTCCGCATTCAACCCTGCGGCAAATCCCTGCATCCAACATGCAGGTGCCGACACTTCGTTTCCACATTGGCTTTCATTGCCTAGAGAACCGTATCGTGAAACGGAACTTTATATTTTCTATTTTCATGAATGCAAGATACATATATACCTAGGAAACCAAGACCAAGCGCCTATTAGGTTCTGTATAGGCCGTGCGCCGTTTTATCTTCGTCTTCAGCGCGGACATCGCTGGCACCAACACTCCATACCATGTCGCAGCTTGACGAATCTCCTTAGACACCTTTGCATGCCTATTCGCATCGCATTCTCTTAGGCAAGCATGAGAATGGACTGCTTAATTTATAGTAAAACATCATTACTTATTCCGGCATTAGTCACTGTCTACAAAATGAAATCTCATCTCCAGCCATGCTGCCACCGGTTGTGCAGGAGTATCCAGACATGTCAACTCTTCAAACGATCTGGAAATGTATCATGATGTCTTGCAGAATTGCAACTAAAGCCAAAAGACTCAATATATTTCAGTACTAAGCTAAATTAACTTCATAGTCCTTGCAGTCATGCTGACTACAATGAACTGTGATAGTGATGTCAAATAACCTAACGCTCATGCACGCTATGAAGAAGGCTCTACTCTCATCTCCTTATGCGAACGGGGCTGATTGTTCTCACTGAGAGGCATCTCATAGTCGTCACTATGAACCGTAGCGATATCACTCCGGATGGACAGCATGGAATCGTTGGAAGTATCCAGATTGCACACCATAGATGAAGTGTCATCTTGCTCTTCGGGTGACCTTTCTGATTCTCTGGCTTCCTTACGGTCCATAGTTTGCACTGCATGATTATCGAAGTTCGGACATGAGGCTGAATGGCGGATATTGATATGTGTGGGCGGTAAAGGCTCCAAGGGCTCTGGGGATGGAGAGCTTGCCACAGTAGATGCCACTCCAACTGGTAAAGTAAAAGCCCTATACAACCTCTGCCACCACGTAGGATGACGCATTGGAGACTCATTACCCGAAGGCTGGACCTTTTCTTGTTGAGTTTCTTCTGCTTTTGGCGGCGAAGAGGCTACATCATCAGAAGGCTTGGGTCGAGGTGCTTCAGGTGGTCGAACTATCGGGGCTGGTAAATAAAGATGAGGATTTATGACGCCGGGTGGCTGAATTGTGAGGATTTGAGGCCTAGAGGAGAAGAAATAAATAGGGGTTTGCTGAGCAACTCCGTACTGCAGAACGGGAGCTGGTTGCACGAGGTGCGATACTGGTCTTGTAGGGCCGTTGGGGCTGCGATGAAGCTGTCTATTCCTTTGTCTGCGAGGGACATTGTGCAGCTTGGTTTGGTTGCCCATGATTCTCGCTCTCCCCATATAATACATCCAAACTATTGACAAGACGATAACGACGACGACGACGGAGAATATAATGCCAAAGTGTGTAGCTGAACTGAGGCAGTGCCATCCTAGGCAGGAGTCAGATCGGCGACGAAAGTAACCATGTCCTTTCCTCTCGAAAACTTGCATAACTGTAGCTGCAACGGGCGAGTTAAAATGTCGAAGCAATCAAGGATGTAATATGCTGTCTGCTAAGGATCGTTGTGGCTGATTCTCTTCATGGCATAGGCGGCACTGGAATGTAAACACTGGTGTTGAAGCAGGCAATTGCAGCGATTCTCTTAACTCAAGAAGGAACAGGGAATGAAAATGCCCAAGTTCATATCATGATTGGATTTTAAGGCCACAGAACCCCAGGAAATCTACTTCGGCGAGCGCTTCCAGCTGGCTACCGGCTGGCAGAGCTTAGACCGTCCTCCCTAGAGTAGTTTGCGTGATACTGTGAACGACCATAAGAAAAAATTGGTGAAAGCACTCGAGATACCACTGGCTCAATGTATTAAATGTGTGGCTATTTATTGATCAATGTTAATGTCATGATTAGATGACAACAGAGGATAGATAAATGTGTTGTGACATGTACTGGTAGCATCTGGATGGTCATCTACTGGTATTTTTCTACATTTTGGCAGAAACACAAGAATGTCGGCAAACTTTTCTACCATCTTCTTAATTGTCCATAATAGCATATTTTGTAGTCTGAGGTTAAAAATACGCCGGAATTGCTTTGGAAATTGGCCCATTGATGCAGGATAAAGTTTATGTTAATTTGAGACTGTACCTGAGTATCTGGTAGATGGAAGCCTGTGTCTGAGTTAAGGGTTCAGAGAGGCTCCTGACGTGTTTGTCACGTGTTTGTCCGGGGCACTCTTGTGCGCTGCAAAGTCATAATTCATGTCAACGCATCTATTATTTCGAGTTTCGTCTCACATTCTATTTGACTTTTACAATCAATGATATCATGTATGTGAACATTAAACATCGTTCTTCACGCCGAAGTGACTTGAAGTCTGCCTACATCGCTCATTGTCCAATCAGGTTGCGTCACGGGGCGCACGGACCACTCTCGGCTTCCCTGAGCTATCCATGGAATTTCTGGCTCGCCTCATCGTGATCAATCCCAAACTCGCGATATCAAGCCTTTCGGCAACTCCTTCTCGACTCTAGCCACCGATTCATCCGCGCTCGGCTGACAGGAATTGCCATGATATAGAGAAAACTGATTAACCTTTTGCCAGTCACCTCCGAGGCGCATCACCAGCTTGTCGAACGCGTTTCTGCGATCTCGCAGTACTTCAAGCAGCCCCCCGTCTCCCCATAGGCATTGAATCGGATCTTCAGCCATGGCGGCTCTTCAGAATGGCGCTGCGAATGGCGCGGCAAACGGAGATGCTTTAAAGGCTCCTACTAGCACCCGATTCTCCGACATCCCCTCCGCCATCGATATTCCTGTCCAGGGCGACCAGGAAGACGAAGCGGTCGAAATCGATCTTGAGGATCTTGTTGATGATCCCACCGAGCTGTGTACTCTATTCGAAAATGAGCATGCGGCAAAGACATATTGGATGACCGTCGCGTTGGCATATGCGAAGCAACGGAAAATCGACCACGCCATCGAGATGCTGATTCGAGGTGGCAACGCCATACAGAGCGGCAACCCACGCGATAAAGTTAGCATGATTTGCTGTCTCTGTTGGATGTACTTGTGGAAAAGTCGAGAAGCTCCTCGTGTTGCGCCTGACGGTGTTCATGTATCAGAAGCCAAGACGAAGGAGTACTACCTCCAGCTTGCAACGTCATCCCTGAATGACGCTGCACGTCTCAACCCATCCTTCCCACCCATCTTCCTTGCTCGTGGAGTTTTGCTTCTGCTCAGAGCTTCACTGCAAGGCCCATCAAAGACAGCCGGAGGCCTAGGGACGGAGAAGAGCGAGCTTCTCAAGAACGCTGCCAAGGCCTTTGATGACGCCCTCCGAGTCTCTCAGGGCAAGAACATGCTGGCCCTGATGGGAAAGGCTCGCACCCTGTTCTCCATGCACAAGTACCCCGAGGCATTGTCTACATACCAAGACGTTCTTCAGAAGAGACCTGACTTGGTGGATCCTGATCCTCGTATCGGCATTGGTTGCTGTTTCTGGCAACTTGGGTTTAAAGAGGATGCAAAAGTAGCCTGGGAGAGATGTCTGGAAATCAACCCCGACTCCAAGGTTCCCAACATTCTCCTTGGTCTATACTACCTCGACGCTAGCGGTCACGTTCCGGTCAACAGCGACGAGTTCCTCAAGCTTTATAAAACGGCCATGATTGAATACACTCAAAAATCATTCAAACTCGATAAGGAGGTCCCCATCACCTGCTCCACCTTTGCAGGTTACTTCCTGTCTCGAAAGGCGTGGGATAACGCAGACAAGTTGGCTCACAAGGCTATTCAATACACTGATGTCAACGCCGTTGCCAGTGACGGATGGTATCTGCTCGCGAGAAAAGCTCACTATAACGGTGATTTAGAGCGTGCTAGCGACTACTATCGTCGCGCCGACGATGCTCGTGGAGGTACCGAGACTGGCTATCTCCCAGCTAAGTTTGGTGTTGCACAACTGTCTGTCATGAAAAATGACCTGGGAGAGGCCAAGCTGAGACTGGAAAAAATCATCCAGCAGTCTAAAAACCACGAAGCCATGATTCTTCTGGGGACCATTTATGCGGAGGAAATATTCACTAGCCAGAACAGTGACAGCAAGGAAGATAGGTCTGCGGAAATGAAGAAGGCAATTGCTTTGCTAGAGGGTGTCAGGAATTCTTGGAAGGACCCAAAGAAGGCCCTATCACCTGACGCTTCCGTCCTCTTAAACTTGGCCCGACTATATGAAACGGAGAACCCTGAGAAGGCATTGCAGTGCCTGCAGCAAGTTGAGCAGCTGGAACTCGAGCAAATCCCAGAGTCAGAAAGACCAACGGATGTACCCGAGGCTGAAGTTCAGGCGGCTCTTCGCAAGTTTCTTCCACCTCAGCTTCTGAACAACATTGGTTGCTTTCACTCTCAGGCGGAGAAGCACGATCTAGCCAGCGAGCTGTTCGAGGCTGCTCTAGGTGCGTGCATGAGGGCCGGTGAGAAGGATCCCACAATGGATACCGACGCCTTGGTGACTACCATTAGCTTCAACCTGGGCCGAAGCTATGAGGCCCGTGGGCTGACGGACAAGGCTGTTGAAGTGTACGAGGGCCTGCTGAACCGTCACGACGATTATACTGATGCCCGCACACGGCTTGCGTACATTAAGCTGAGGAAAAATCCCAACAAGGAAGGACCCGACGCTGTGGCAAAGTTATACCAAGAGAATACAGCCGACCTGGAAGTTCGAGCTCTCTATGGATGGTATCTCGGAAAGGTTCACTCCAGAAAGCGCCCTGCCAATATCACCGAGGATCACGAATTCCGTCATTACAAGCATACGCTGCAAAATTACGACAAGCATGATAGGTACGCCTTGGTCGGAATGGGTAATCTATATCTCCTGCAGGCAAGAGAAATGCGACGTGAAACAGAGCAAGACAAGCAGAAGAGAAGTGCAACGTATTGCAAGGCTGTTGAATTTTTCGAGAAAGCTCTGTCACTCGACCCGAAGAACGCCTATGCAGCTCAGGGCATTGCAATCGCTCTTGTGGAGGACAAGAGAGACTACAAAACGGCTCTCACCATTTTCAACAAAGTTCGAGACACTGTCAAGGATTCTCATCTATACGTAAACTTGGGTCACATCTTTGCTGAGCTGAAGCAATTCTCCAAGGCCATTGAGCATTACGAGGTTGCTCTATCTAAAGATGGCAAATCAAATGATCCAGTTATCCTCTCATGTCTTGGCCGCACTTGGCTAAACCGAGGAAGGGTAGATCGAGATGTGGACTCGTACATTAAGGCCCTTGAATGTGCCAAAAAGGTAAGCTTATTGCTTCGGTTTCTAGTCACAATATTTCTTACTAACAAGGACTCACAGGCACTTGAAGTGGCTCCGGATCAAATACATTATCAGTTCAACGTTGCCTTTGTTCAGATCCAGCTTGTGACAACAATTCAGGGCCTGCCTGAGAACAGACGGACGGCTGAGCAGCTGGAAGAGGCATCTGAGGGTCTCGAAGCCGCCATTGAGTCGCTAGATAAGATTGCTGCTCATCCCCAAACGCCTTATCCCAAGCACGATGTCGAACAGCGTGCTAACATGGCCCGCAATACGCTCCGCAAGCAGCTTGAGAGAGCACTCGGAAAGCAGAAGGAGTGGGAAGAGAAGAATAAGGAGAAGATCTCGGCCGCCAAAGAACAGCGAGAGGCCGAGATGAAGAAGCGTGAAGAAGAGCGGCAAGCAGTTCTGGAGAAGGAGCGAGAGCGACAAGAGAAGATCAGGAAAGAACGTGAGGCCATTGCCGCGCGCGATAGGCTCCAAGCAGAACAACGAGCTGAGGAGGAACGAGCACGACAAGAGGCGGAGATGACTACGGATGAAGAGACTGGTGAAAAGATTAAACGAAAACGCAAGCCAGCACCACGCGCCCCTGCTGGCGAGGGCAAGCCAAAGAGGTCATCGAAGAAGAAGAAGGCCGATGCAGATGAGGATGAGGGCTTTGAGGAAGAGAACCACACCAAAAAGAGACGTCGCCTTACTAAGCGAGAGAATTCCAAGTTCAAGTCGGCTGAAATTGTGGTTGATTCCGACGAGGAGGCCAACGAGGATTACGATGATGACGCTCTCGAGCGTGCCGAGAGGAACCTGGACAGAGACGAGACGCCTCTCTCCGAAGCAGACGAAGATGCTGCCGAAAAGATGGACGTTGATGATGAGGACAAGGGCCGCGGCGAAGGAGATGATGATGAGGATGTTGATGCTCCCCGAAGCCAAGCCAAGAGGAGTCGCAGAGGCCGTGTGATTGCGGAGAGCGACGAGGAAGATGAAGACGCGGAGCCCAGCAGTGCGAAATTTGATGATGGCGCTGCGGCCGCGGATGAGGATGACGAATAATCGTAATATAATCATTGCTTCTCACGTGGATTTTGAGAGGGGGAGAAAGGGGGTTTGGTGATAGGAAGGGCCTGGACACAAATTTGTACATGTATACTACTAGCTTCCCCCTGATAC